CTGAGTCATCTGTTCCATTCTATATGATAGTATCAAGTTTGAAGACATAGGCAACTACTTTGAAGGCAATAGATTCACTAAGATGCCCATTCTGGTTTGACTATTGTCTTCTTTGGAAGTCCTGTAATGTTTACAATGCCTAAGTTTTATTGGTCTTGTTCTCTACTGTTTTGTCCAACTTTATAATATCTAATGAGATAGACAATTCTTTTTAAGGAAACAAGAGACAACGTTGATAACCATTGTTGATAACCTTGTACTCTGTTCTACACCATGTGCTATGTCTATCCTTGGTTTTGACTGACAGCTTTGTTTTGCCATATTTGACTGTATTCTCTCCCTCCCCCAAAAAAGTAATAAGCACTAAGGAGTAATAAAATCCAAAATGTGTAAATTTTGTTGTAAAAAAGAGAGGGAAAAAAAAGAAAAAAAGAAAAAGAGCTCTAACGGATATAACAGCAAGTGTGTTTAGGGGTGTTAAATAGCTGACTATATCAATGTTTTTGGATCATTGAACACAGCTGTTTGCAGTCTCCCTGTTTGAATGTCCACCTTGTATTCTTTGATACTGTGATTTGAGCAACTATTTTCAAGATGATAATATGTAATCTACTAACAGGTGATTTCTTACTGTTATGTTTTTGTTTTTTTGTTTTTTTTGTAGTTCTGTATTACGTGTACCCTTACACCGCTTTGTTTTGTTTTGTGTTTTTCTCTTTTTCCTCTTAAATAAAAAAAAAATAACTACTGAGTCATGCCAACCTGGTACTTTGCAATGATAGCTAATGATCATGAAACAGAAAAACTGAATTCAACAATAAATTCCATGTACTCAGCCTAACAGTTTATCACCCTGGCCCTCCTTGCTGCTCAGGTGTGGCAGAACAGTTTGTTTTGTTTCTTGACACAGATTCATGGTTGTTAAAGATTTGACCATGAACATTGGATCAGTCCATCCCAGAGATGATGGCTAATTAACCTGGACTGAATGGTTGATCAGTGATGCTTCCAGGAAAGATCTTTATCAAAAGGGGAGAAAGATGGGCGTTAACAACACAAAACCTGAAAGCCTTAATGGGAATGGAATGTTGGCATCATGAAGAAGCTTGTACACATGGATGACAGAGCCCTGTGTTTCTCATTTGTTACCTCATTACAAGTTTGTACTGGAATTTTAAGTATTGAGATTTAGATTTGAAAAGTTATGAGATGTCTTGCATGTATTCAGAATCTAAGTGTAGTCTAGTTTCTGAAATTAGGTGGCCGAAGTGTTTCAGTTTGCTGGCCTACTTGTCAATCATATCTGGAAACATAGCACAGACACACCCAGAAGTGTGCTTTATTAACCTTCTAGGTCCTCCTTAATCCAGTCAAGATGATACATCAGTGTTAACAGTCACAGAGCCCCTGAGAGGGAAGTGAAGAAAGCTGTAGGCATGAAGCCAAGGATGCAGTGTACACCCCCAGGAAATTGTATATCCCAGGTATGTGGAGCATCAGCCGAGGAAAACTGCAGGCTGTGGGTGCAGTCGGACCAAGAGAGCAGCCAGGTGGGTCCCAAGCAGCAATGCTAAAGGGATGGGGCTGCCCAAGACATGTGGACTCACGTCTCTTCACCACTTGGCCTGGTGCTGGACAAAGAGCTACAGAATTGAATGTTTGCCCTGCTGGGTTTTAGTCTTGCTTGGTTCAGTTCCTTTCTATGCCCATACTCTTCCATTTTGGATTAGAAATATTTAATCTGTGTCATTGTTTGTTGGAAATATTTCTGTCTGATTTTATTTTCTTAAGGGCTCATAGTTAAGAGTTTGCATTAAGTATCAGAGCCAACTTTGGATTTGGACTTTTCAGTGATTTTGGAGCTTTTAAGACTTGGGAAATTCTTACAGATGGACTAGATGCATTCTGCATAATGAAATGGACATTAGTTTTTTAGGGTCAGTTAGGAATGCAATGGTTTAGATCTAAAGTGTCCCCCCAAAAGTCCATTTCAAGTGGGACTTTTGGAAGGTGATTAGAACATAAGATCAATATACTTATTGGTGAATTAATTCATACCTGAATGTGCTATTGGAAGACTCAGATCTGATTGGTGGTGGGGAGGTAACCTAGAAGAATATAGAGTAAATTACTGTCCTTGGTTTTACTTCTCCTTCTTCTCCCTTTCTTCTCTTCTTCCTCCTCTTCTTCTTTCTTCTTCTTCTTCCTCTTCTTCTTCTTTCTCTTCTCCTCCTTCCTCTTCTCCTCCTTCTCCTTCTCTTTCTTCTTCCTCTTCTCCTTCTCCTTCTCCTTCTCCTTCTCCTTCTCCTTCTCCTTCTTCTTCTTCTTCTTCTTCTTCTTCTTCTTCTTCTTCTTCTTCTTCTTCTTCTTCTTCTTCCTGTCCTCTCTCTCTCTCTATGTTTCTTTCTCCATGTCTGTGCCTGTCTGTCTGTCTCTGTCTTTTCTGCCTGCCATGAAGTAAATGACTTTCTTCTGCCATGCCTGTCCACCTTGCCATTTCAGCCTTGGAATTAGACCCCCAGGGATTAAATCCTCTGAAACTCTGAGCCAGATCAAATGTGTCCTCTTTTAAGGTATACTGTGTCCCAGCAATGGAAATGTTGACTGACACAGAAAACTGGTACCAGAGCAATGGAAGCATTGCTGTAACTACCCAACACCCAAAATTTAAAGGAAGAAGGGATTAATCTGATTCATGGGTTTTTTAAAAAGAGGATTCAGTCTGTGGTTGGCTGTCTCCAAGGCAGAAACAGTGTGGTAGAGCATAGCAGAGGAAAGTTGCTCATTTCATGGCAATCAGGAAGTAGAAAAACAAAGAAAAAATAAGGGCCAGAGACAGTAATATTCCATTCTAGGTCACACTCTCAGTGGTCTACTCCAGCTAACCTCCACCTCCTAACTGCACATTCAGCTATGGAGCTAGCAATGGGTTAATCCACTGCTGGATTTAATGTTCTCTGTTTCAGTCATCATCAAAGCACCACCTCTGGACACATGTGACTTTTGGGGAACTTTAGATCTAAACCATAACAGAAATTGTTATTCACATTCACTTTATCTGTAAATTGGACCCCTGACTAGATGCTCTTTCGCTTCTCCATAAAGGTCCCATAGTTCATGCCTCCAGAATGGTTTTCCTCCCTGAAATTCTCATAGAACACAGCCCAGCCACTGATAGATTATTACCCAGAAATTTGCTAGAAAGTGAGTTTAGGAACCAGGTCTTTGATTGTCTCTTAAAAACTACTGATGACCCCTCTCTGGGGCCACCGCTCTCAAATGCCCTGCAATTCCCTTCTACCCAGGAGCCAAGCCATTCTTTGATGTTTTAGTCTTTGCTTGAGGCTATTCTCAGAGTGGACCCAAGTGTTCTACATGAGAAGATATAAGAACGAGTTCATGTAAAAAGATGTCCTGATCCTTTCCTCTACTCCACCACCTCCACAAATTATCAAAAATTCAGACCTCCCACTGTCATTCCTTTCTTTGCTGCAGACTTCTTGGGCACTGAGAGAAGGACACAGACTGCTTCACTGTCCCACTCCCATACCACAGCCACTAATGTGAATGCTGCATCCAAAAAAGGTAAGAACTCTCATGAGGGTGTTTTATAGGGTGTTTGGTGTTACATAGGATGTTTGGTTGAAAGGTAGGAAAATATTGGAAAGAGCTTGTGATCTTTTAGATAGTAAAGAACGAAAAATTGCATGTAAGTCATAGAAAACAACGCCATATATTCAACTCAGCATTAATTCCAGCAGTGTAGCCTTTTCCTGTCTCTCTCTCTCTCTCTCTCTCTCTCTCTCCCATCTCCAGCCTTCCAAATATGCATATTGGTACACCTCCAGCCCTGAAATGGCCATTATTAGGTCCTTCGGAGGACCTGGATATTTAGAGTAGCAAATCTGGTGGGAAGTTTAGTAGAGCCCAGTACACTGCTCCTAAATGAGGAAAGAGACTTAGTTTAAGGAGAAAACTTTTTCAGTGTGATTCCCTCTTCTACAGCCAGTAGATCCCATAAAGGCAGTTTTAGTTTAGATACTTAATTGACTAGAGGAATATTTCAAAACTGAAGTTTCAGCCGGGTGCCGGGATCCCAGCAGTTAGGGAAGTTGAGGCAGGAGGATCACAAACTGACCCCTGCGTTAGCAACATGGGTACTTAATGAGGATGCTGTCTCAAAATAAAAAAAGTAAAAAGGACTGGGGATGTAGTCAGAATAGTGCAGTCCCCAGGACCACTAACTCTGCCACACACACACACACACACACACACACACACACACACACACAACCTGACATTCCTTTACCCTGATGATACTTTTAACAAGCAGCTGATGAATCAAGATCATTTTTAACGATGACAGAGAAACAGCCTCTGAGGAGTATGGTGGTTAGTTTAAAAGTGATAGTATGTTCCATCCAGGTCCTAAGGACATGCTACGTAGAAGTCAAGACCAGAGAAACACCATCATGTACTACCAATGTAACTGCAGCCTGGGCTGTGATTTCAGGTACCCAAAGTCTTCCAGGCTAGGAAATGCATCCCAAGTAATTATCCAATTACTAAATTTTAAGGGATATATCTACTATATCCCTTAAAAAGTGATAAACCTTTCCACTTTGCAGACATAAAATTTGAAATACCATTTTCTTTTGGACATATGTTCTCTGCAGAGTGAACTGGAGAATAGCACTTAGCTAGTTGAGATGGGTTCCTTAGATTGAGTGGAGGAAAGGGCAGATAGAAAGTGTTTACAATTCTCAAAATAAGCTTAATCTACTTTTTCCAATTTTGTTCTTGACTGTCTCAGTCTGGAAAATATTTTTATTTTCTATCAGTGTTATTATCTAATGAGAGTTATCATCTTTTGATCTGAGAACCAAATACTGTAGCAAAATTAGGTCCAAATGAAGGGATAGGAACTTTCAATTAGAGGTCAGCCTTCGGGGCACCATCTCATTGATCTTTACTTTTCTGTGTACACACAGGCATCCCTGGTGACTGAGATGGCATCCTCTCTGAGGGTCTGGGTCACTCTCTTGATCCTGCTGTGCCTCCAATGCGGGCTGCTTGTACAGAGCAAAGACATTTCCAGGAGGAAATTTATGGAAGACTACCACCTAAGTCCAAGCCAAGAGTTCAGTGCATACAAATGTGATTTCCTCATGAAAGAAAGACAAGCTCTGAAGCACAAGACTTTCCACTTGTTCATTTATATCTCATGGTACAGAGTGGAGCACATATGCTATAATAGCAAGTGGAATGACCGCTACAGGAATATATATGTATGGGCCCAGATACCAATCAGAGTACTCAAGTGTCACTGGGAGAGTTTCACAAACAGCTACAGAGAAAGCAGGGGCTACAACTATATTGAATTTCACTGTAACATAAATGGGTATGTTGATAGCATAGAAGACATGAAGCTCATAGAGCCCATGTTCAATTAGAAAAACCCGCCTGTCCTAGGCTTTGGCAACTAGAGGTCTCAAGCAGGGATCTCTGCCTCCTGCTATAGCCAGCCACTCTCACTCTGAATTTCTGGGTCAGTGTTTTCCAGTTATCTAGAGTTATGCACCATGTAGTTTCCTTCATCTTTTTTTTTTTTTGGAACCGAAGATCGTACTCATGACCTCATGATTGCCAAGCAGGCGCTTACACCACTGAGCTAAATACCAGCCCTTTTTTTTCTTGTTGAGATAGTGTTGCACTCTAGTTCAGCCTGGCTTTCAACTTACTATATAGCCCAGGCTGGCCTTGAGCTCCCAATCCTCCTGACCAGCCCCTTATATTTACAGTGTGTTGCGTCTTAGTCTGTTATCCTCACAGAACAATATTCTGTCCTGATTTACCTAATTTACTCCTACATTGTTTTTAAAGACTCAGTATTCTCAACTCATCTTGGACATTTCCTGATATTGGCATCATTATACCCTCACAATCTGAGCCATCTTTTCTTCTGTAAATGACCTGTGTTGTTCTAATATGTGAGAAATATAAATATATACTGTGTATAGAGTTTGTATAGTGTCTCTGATAATGAGCAATGTGAATGATGTAATATAAAATATAATCAATATAGTTGTGCACAGGTTAAGGTGCATTTAATGAGTAGGTCTAAATGTATGTGACATATTTGCATATCCACGGGGATGTAGCAGCCTATGTGCTAAGATGGAGACAAGTTATATCTAGGCATTGAATGTGGTGCATAAGGAGGCATCCCTAGTTCTACCAAGATCAGGGGTGGGGCACTTGTTGTGTTTTATTTTCCATTTTTCAGATTGACTTTTTAATTTTGACTATGATTCTAGAAGTCTATGGGTTTTTCCTCTGTTACTTTTGGGGAGGTGGATACTGGGGATTAAACTGAGGTCCTTCATGCTCAGCCACATCCCCAGCCTTTAAAAAATCTTTTTGAGACAGAGTCTTGCTAACACACTAAATTGCTAGTCTTAAACCTCCTGCCTCAGCCTCTCACAATGCTGAGATTACAGACAAGCACCACCACACCATGGCAACATGGTGGTGTCTAATATAAAACTAAAATGGTGTCTTAGTTACTTTTCTCTATGCTGAGACAAAATTTCTAACATCCAAAGTTAAAGGGAGAAAGATTTACTTAGCTCACAGTTAGTAGATGTTTCAGTCCATAATTGACTGGTTTCAAGGCAGGGTGGCTTGGCAGAGGGCATCACAGAGAATAGTTCTTGGTGTCCACAAGGAAGCAAAAGCAACAATGGACCTTAATCGTGTCTTTCTTCCCCTTTTATCCAGACTGGTAGGTAACACTTACCCTTAACCCCAATACTTTTAAATCCAGCATTGCACCATGAATCAATTCTAGTGTCATACACTCTAGATCCAGACACCTCTGAAAAAGCCCCATGTATGACCTCATGAAGCTTTTGGAAGACATCTAGACACAAGCCATGACAAACAGGGTGTCATATGTGTGGAATCTCTAAAAGGCAAAATAAAAGGAATCCTTTCTCTATTCTTGGGGCAACCATTGCCCCACCCCTGATCAGTAAAACTAGGGATGCCTCGGGATGTACCACATTCAATGCCTTGGTATAACTTGTCTCCATCTTATCACATAGGGCAGACTGACAGATGCTGTACTGCACTTACACATTAAGAATGTTACTAAGAATATCAATTCATTTTAAATGAGTTAGGACATTTTGTTTTCTCCCGTACAGAAGAAAACACAAAATAGAAGATACTAGCAAAAAAAAAAAAGTTTATCTGATAATAACTATTTTCACTTGGCAGAGAAATAAAAGTAGGACTGAAAGTTTTATAAACACTGTACTCCTTAGGAATGCAGTTGATGTTTTGTTATAAAGAGAAGCAGATGTTGGGGATATAAGTTGGTAGAATCCACATGAATTCTTTTGCAAAGTGGGGGAGAGAAATACAATCTGAAAACAATTCTCTCCATACAACTTTGCTTAGGGCAGATCATGGCAGGATAAATTCCAAGCACTCAAGTACTTTATGTTCTTTGGTCTCCAGTAATGTTGCATGACGCTGACCTTGAAACAGTCATAAAGAGAGACCAAGCTGTCAATATTTTTATTTAGATGACTGCACACCCCACGGCTGTTCCTCAGCTTTGCAATTCTTCAGTGGATTTCAGGATGAGTTGATATCAAGGAGATGATGACCCACCAGAATCAAAAGCGATTAGGTTTGAACCTAGTTCTTTATCAATGAGAATGAGAATGCTAATTTTCTTTTCATTTGGCAGTTGATGCATGGGTATGTATTTTCTTGAAGACTGAACACAGGAAATACTGAAGAACACCCCCAGCCACTTTTTTCTTTTAAAGAGAATAAAACCTAATGAAATAAAACATAATAAAGCCAATCAAAACAAAACAGTGAAAGTGGCACAGAACTTCAAAACAGGGTAATAGGAATCAACAATGGCTACCATAATATATCTTGGTATTTTCACAATAGTTGTCCATATCATCAGACATAGTAAAGTCAAATAAAAGAGAATAAAACCAATCAAAACAGAACACCAAATAAAATGGGACAATGAAATGGAGCGAAACAAAACAGTGAGAACAGTATTGAACTTCAAAAGCAAGACAGAAAGAAATCCCCCATATTTGCTATATTGCATACTGTTGTCTTCCTAATACATGCTCAGACTACCAGCCTGCAGAGTCAATCAAGCAATACAAGCATTTAGTAGTTTTTGGCCTCAGTTGCTCTCAAGTCAGCCTGTCCTCCAAACCAGCCAGTTGCTTATGGGAGCAGGTGGTGGGGTCTTCTTGATTCTCCATGCAGGGATCGACCCACAGGACGTGCAAACTGGCTTTTCTCTTCCTGAGCCCTACATGGTTTGCATGGCTTATGGGAAGAGCAAATTGGCCTCTTGTTGTACTCCTCCCAGGCCCAGCATGGTCATTTTTTTCATATAACTTCTAGACAGGATCTTGTTGAGTTGCCCAGCCTGACCTTGAATTTGGGACCCTCTTGCCTCAGCCTCTGCAGAATTATAGGCGTGTACCACACATCGAGCTGGTAAATGTTCTCAATGCAGTACAGAGAAGGAAAAACATTTTCCTTCTGCCATTCTGGGTTCTTGCTTCAGGTTCATGTAACAAAATCAGATTCAGAAAAGCAAAACAGATGGAGGTTTACTAACGTGTATCTCCTATAAACATGAAAAAAATCAACTCAAACAGGTAGTAAAGTTAGCTGCTGGCAACATGGGCACTTTCCAGGGCAAGGCCCCATACTTTAAGGGGACGGACTGCTACCTCTTAGAAGTCTGTTTGTGTGTTTTCAAACTTGTTTTTCTAAGTTGTTTTCCTGCTCTCTGTTTTTGGTAAGGATACCGCTTTGCAAAGTAACCTCAGCATTCTCCTTACTTGGGGTAACACACCTCTCTCCACTGCTTTCCGTCACAGCTTGAATTCAGACTCTAAAACTGTTGGGTCTCAGAAAATGACATTCTAAATACGATGCTTTGGCGTGCTCAGTGTTCGGCGCATTTTGTTTGTGTTACTGAAGGTTGAGCCCAGAGCCCTTGAACTAAGCTACAGTTACTGTATTTTCAGACAGGGTCTCATGACATTGCTAAGTTGCTGAGGGTAGGCTCCTGCCTCAGCCTCCCAGAGTGCTGGCATGACAGACATGTGCCACCCACCCCACTCTCTTGAGTACTTTGAAAGATGGGAGAACTAAGGCCTCTCTGATCTCTCAGCCCTGTCTTGTTCTTCTTTCCTTTTTACAGCAGAGTGGAACTTTTTCTCTATACCTGAAGGAAATTGTCATCAATACCCTTTCCTGGGTTCTTTGTAGACAAAAAAGTTTAACTCTCAGGAAAGAAGACAAAAAGTCCAAAGTTGTTGCCAATTTACAACCCCAAACTGGACCCTTTCTCCCCTCTCAGAATTGTGCAGTCAACAAGAAGACCAAGCACCAGTTGAGCAATTAAGTAGATGTTTATTCTTGGTCAAAAATAGAAATGAGAAGCAAACTTGCAAACCAAGCAGATCAACTTCTTGCTTTGGGAGAATGCAGGAAATTATAAGTACAGGATAAAAGAAATGTGTAGGTAAGCTAAGCTATGAGGAAAGGAGAAATAATGTTTCTTCTGGGAAGGAGCAGAGATGTTCTGGAGATTCAAGATGCCACTTTTTGCTCCTTTTATGGTTTTTTCCTGGCCATCTGCATGGCAACTGTCAATTGTCATGGTGCAAGGCTGTGTGTCATTAACTCCAGGGGCGTTATGATGAAGTTTGGTTTTGTTTGACTTATTCGGTCTGATTTTATCAGTCTCGTCCACTTTCTGTTACTTTCCCAGGGACAGTCTCCTGCCCTGTCCCCTGGCAGAGTCTGCATGGGGAAGAAGATATAACGAAGCTAAGGACTGTCTGGTGGGCACTTGGGCAACCTCTTACCTCTAACTGGTTTTAGCTAGCTCAGCTGAGGAGGCTTCTGGCTTTGGGCGTCCTGTCCTCAAAGATTAGAGCAGGGGAGAAATTCAGCTAGGTCCTATAGGCAGTGTAAGATTAGCCGCAGATTGTCACAAGCAACCATCTATTTTTCTGAATTCTTCTGAACTCTCTTATCTGAGAGAATTTACAGTACTCCCTGGTGAAAAGGCTTTCATGTTTTCAGTCACATTGGCAGAAATTATCAACCATAGACTAGAAAATTATCAAAGACTTATTCTCTGATCCTTGTTTGAAGACTCTGTTGAAACTTCCTTCAGGATTCCATCTGCAAATCCTCAAAGTGTGGACTCTCAGAGCATTCTGAGTGCATCAAAAAGGGGCATTGGTTGTTTTTTACTTATCATTTAGCCTGTGCCCTACTTTTGGAGCAAAGCTGTATTCTCAGACTGTTCTGAATTTCCTTGTTTACGAAAGAATATTGTCAGTGTTTTGTGTTGGGATACAAGTAGGGCTTATACCCAAGC